TAGCTTTCCAAAGAGTTCTGACGACTAAAATAATTAGAAAATTTTTTTAACAATTATTTTACCCGAACAACACGCACTTTTTTGTACATATATGTGATATGCTGGCCGCATATTGATAGTTCTGCTAAAAATTAGACAGTTCTCTTCTAGTTCTGGGCGAGTACATTGCTTTTCCAAAAAGTTCTGACGACTAAAATAATTAGAAAATTTTTTAAACAATTATTTTACCCGAAAAACACGCATTTTTGAGTATATGTGTGATATGCTGGCCGTATATTGATAGTTTTGTTAATAATTAAAGAGTTTTCGTGCAGTTCTGGGCAAGTACATTGCTTTTCCAAAGAGTTCTGATGACTAAAATAATTAGAAAATTTTTTAAACAATTAATTTACCCGAAAAACGCGCATTTTTGAGCATATGTGTGATATGCTGGCCGCATATTGATAGTTCTGCTAAAAATTAGACAGTTCTCTTCTAGTTCTGGACGAGTACATTGCTTTTCTAAAGAGTTCTGACGACTAAAATAATTAGAAAATTTTTTAACAATTATTTTACCCGAACAACACGCATTTTTGTACATATGTGTGATATGCTGGCCGTATATTGATAGTTCTGTTAATAATTAAAGAGTTTTCGTGTAGTTCTGGGCAAGTACATTGCTTTTCCAAAGAGTTCTGACGACTAAAATAATTAGAAAATTTTTAAACAATTAATTATGTTCGTGAACCTAGCATATCATTTTCCAGCAGATCAAAAATAAAAGAGAGTTCTTGTCGCATGCAGTCGAGTTCTATAGTTCCTTATAGTTTTTAGTAATAGTTCTGGTGATTTTATCCAAAAAACACCAATCGAAAAAATGATCTGCTAACTCCCGTAGCAGATCATTTTCTAGCAGATCAAAATAAAAGAGAGTTCTTGTCGCATGCAGTCGAGTTCTATAGTTCCTGATAGTTTTTAATGATAGTTCTGGTGATTTTATAAAAAAAAACACCGATCGAAAAAAATGATCTGCTACGGAAAGTTAGCAGATAAAAAAATAGAGGACACTGAACATATATGTGATATGCTGGCCGTATATTCATAGTTCTGTTGATAATTAAAGAGTTTTCGTGTAGTTCTGAGCCAGTACATTGCTTTTCCAAAGAGTTCTGACGACTAAAATAATTAGAAAATTTTTTAACAATTATTTTACCCGAAAAACACGCATTTTTGTACATATATGTGATATGCTGGCCGCATATTGATAGTTCTGCTAAAAATTAGACAGTTCTCTTCTAGTTCTGGGCGAGTACATCGGCTTTTCCAAAGAGTTCTGACGACTAAAATAATTAGAAAATTTTTAAACAATTATTTTACCCGAAAAACACGCATTTTTGAGTATATGTGTGATATGCTGGCTGTATATTGATAGTTTTGTTAATAATTAAAGAGTTTTCGTGTAGTTCTGGGCAAGTACATTGACTTTTCCAAAGAGTTCTGACGACTAAAATAATTAGAAAATTTTTTAAACAATAAATTTACCCGAAAAACACGCATTTTTGAGCATATGTGTGATATGCTGGCCGCATATTGATAGTTCTGTTAATAATTAAAGAGTTTTCGTGTAGTTCTGGGCAAGTACATTGCTTTTTCCAAAGTAGTTTACTGACGTACTTAAAAATAATTAGAAAATTTTTAACAATTTAATTTACCCGAAAAAAGTCGCAATTTTTGAGCTATAATGTAGTGATATGCTGGCCGCATATTGATAGTTCTGCTAAAAATTAGACAGTTCTCTTCTAGTTCTGGGCGAGTACATTGCTTTTCCAAAAAGTTCTGACGACTAAA